GAGGCTCTAGGGATAAAGAGATGAACAACACAAAGTCTACAGCCTCAAGGAGCTCACGGGCTAATGGGGGATGACAAGTAAGCACACACACATAAATATGGTGCTAAAATAATGGACTGTGGTGACAGGGGGAGGATTCAATGAGCTAATACACACAGTAGGTGTGTCATAAACTGCAGCATTGAACAAATGCCTCCGATTGCAATCTCAGCACATTTCTGATATATCTCCACAATGCAACATCTATTAAGTCTCTGTAACGCCTACTTTTTATCCTCCCCCTCTTTTACCCTCTTTTTTAAAAGCTTCCATCAGCCTTCTAGGACACTGCTGGCCCTTGGTCAGTGGGTTTATGCCCTTGGACAAGGGCAGGGTAACCATCTTCAGAACACCACAGAGCTTTCTGAATGGAGCCTCAGTGCTGTCACTCTCATCACTTGAGTAACCATATGCTTGTAGATTCTTTGGCAACAAAGCCATCAAAAGTGAAAACAATTCTCTTAAACCTCCACGAAAGAGGGAGAAAAATACAGCATCTTGGAAACATAGTGCATGTTTCTCAGTCCCCTCTCTCCCTCAGAGAAGGGGCCAGATGGAAAGAACACCCTCATTCCACAGACCCCAGAGCTGAGCTTGGTAGTCAAAGGCCCTGGAGAAGCAGCAGTGGTGCAGTGCAAAGAACATGATCATTGGGACCTAGAAGTCCCAGAATTGAATCCTGGACATGTTACCTTGGCTCAGAGGGGCTTAGACATGTTGGGTTAATCTCTTTGAGTCTCAGTTTCCCTATTTGCAAAATGGAGATAATAATTCTTATCTTGCTGATTTATTGTAAGAATTAAATGAAAATGGAATAAGCATTTGATGAATATTAGTTGAGTCCAAAACAGAGACCCAGATGCTGTTCCCAAGATCACTGAGCAAGCTACCAGCCAAAACAGAACTGTTAGAGTCATCCCTGTCTTTGACTCCCAATTTGATATTTTTCCCTTTCCTTCTCCCACAGCTCTTCATTTTGTGGAGCATTTAGCACCAGTGCTTGCTATAGGTCATGAGGAAGACAAATGAGAGACAGTGAGTATGGCCCAAGGCAGACTCTGCTTCAGGCTGAGAATGGCAGCCTCTGAGTGGTATCAATACCACTAGGCCAATATGAATTGGACACTTCTCCAGCATAGTTGGAAATGCAGCTTCCCTAGGGAATGACAGTATTAAGCAGCAACATTACCAGAGGAAGCTCCAGGTTATAGAAAGGGAGCATCCTGCTATGCTGGGCCTTGGTTACAGAACAGTCAGCACATATGTAGCACATACAGCCACCACCCAGGTCTACCCATCAATAATCAATCCCAGCTTTCTTTTCTGTTCATCCCTGATAGGGACTCAGAATCCTTCCCTCTCTTGCCAATCAACTTGTGTTGTCTTTCTCTTCATAAACATTAACTGAAGGCCTAGCATGTGCTAGGTACTGAGCAATAAGTACAAAGCTTATGCTCTAGCATTCCAGATGCAACCTGCTTGCCTTCTCAGGTTTCCATTCCTGCTGTACCCCATGCTTGGAGTCAGTGTGGGATTATGGAAAGGGCAAGGGCTTTGAAGTCAGAGAAGCCAGTGTCTGAATTTGGCTCTGTCACCACAGTGGATGCTTGTCAATTTTGTCTCCTCAGTTCTCCTTCCCTTTGTCTGGTAATAGGATGTTCTTGCAGTAGGGGGCTGCCTCTCCTCAACTCACTGATGTTTGGCCACAGGATTGGGTCTGTGTCAAGCTCATCCAATCATGGTATCTCTTTACACTTGGCCTCAGTACGTGAAGACATTAGGCATGTGACTGAACCCAGGACAAGCAGATTTTTTTCTCCAGTAGGATTAGTATGTTTGAAGTGGGAGAGAGAATATCTCTTTCCTGAGCTGATACAAGCCTACAGCTCTCAGCCACCATGTCCCCATCATGCCCCCAAAAGTAGAGAAGCTTTCTTCAGTGGAGAGAATGCAGGGAGGGGAAGAAACAGAGGAAAGCAGAGGAAAGAGAGAGGTTTCAAAAACATGACATCATTGGAATAAAAAAAGTCTACCTGACTTTACCCTTGACTGCCAAGTGACACCAGTCAATAAATTCCCTTCATCTGAAGCTGGTGATCCTGACCTCTTAGACAGAGGCAGGTGGGGATAGAGTATAGCATTTGAGTAAAGAATGACCATGTTTCTGTAGACCACAAGAGGAAAAAGCAATAATGCCTCTGAAGAACAATTCTGACTGTCTATTCCTGTAGTTACAACTACATTGTTTCCTGCTTTATACTCCAATTGTCTTTGTGTCAATAAGCATTTAAAAGGGGACTGGATGTACATCTTGTCACATGTTTCTCTTTGAGTATAGATCTGCAGTGACTATGTTCAGGGTGGTCCTGCCTCTCCTGTGGTGTATAAGTCCCCAAGAGCCTGGGGTGTTTTGCTTCCATATGTCCATCCCCCCAGCCACTACCTGTAATATTCATACTTTAATCTTTGTAGGGTACATTGTGCTTTGCAAAGCACTTTCATTTGCATTATCTCATTTGATTCCCAGGGCATCTATGAGTAAGCCAGGGCCCAGATTACTGTTCCTGCCTGTCAGATTGAAAAATGGAAGCTCATGCCCTGGGATCTTAGCACAGAGAATGAATAGGACAGACATGGAAGGATCCCTGGATTTGGAGCTGGAAGGCCCTGGTTTCTGTCCTGGCTCTTTTACTTACTAGTTGCCTGACTTTGGGCAAATCACTCAGTCCCTCCCGGTCTCAGTCTCCCCATCTTTCAGATTTAGGGATGATAATATTCTTCAAGGCCTCTTGTGACTGTCACAGGAGATGACATGGGACAAAGGGTTCTGTGAGCCATAAAATGCTGCTCACCTGTTTGGGGATGGTTTTCATGAGCAGTGGGCAATAGTGTGCTGAGTTCAGCTTGTGTATGCTGCCAACCACCTCCTTTAAACTTCACATTCAACAACATCATGCTGGTGACTTGAAATCAGCCATAATGAAAATAGTTACACCAAGGAAATTAGCAAATGCTATAAACCGAAGCTTTGTTAACCAGCACACAATGATGCTGGGGGTTGAAGGGGAAGAAAAGAAAAGGATGCTAACATTTAAGGTGCTCTATATATATTGAGTGCACCTTTATAGCATCTGGGGACAGACACTGACCCTATTTTATAAATGAGGTAATTAAAACTTAGAGAGACTTCATAACTGGTCCAAGAACCTATAATAAATAACAGAGCAGAAATACCAAGCCAGGTCCCACATTCTCTTTGATAACCATGCAGCATCTCAAAGAGGCATCCATTAGCATCTGTTCTTTCCCTGATCTCCAATGCAGCAATAGTGAGGTATTAAATCAGTTTCTAGGACCACTTAACATTGAAGATCCCTGTTTGGATATCAGCATCCTAGTGTCCAAATTGAGACCCGCAGTTCTGGGTCTCAATTGGATAAATGCTTCAGGGTCCTGGAAATTAGGCAACACTATTAGATTGGGGTCACTTGAAACATTCAGGCATAGAGAGGGAGAAAGTCAAGAGCATCTGGGTCCAACTGCCATCTCTGCTACTTCACCTAGCTCAGGTTCAGCTCCCTCATTTGTCAAAGGGGACAATATCCATACGTACCTGTTGTACTTCATTGGGTTTCTGTGGTATCAGTAGGGGAGAGGATTCTGAAGGCCTCTGGAATCTGTTACACTGCACAGATGTAAGGGAGTTATCGTGTGTCTCAGTGAGAACCTTTCCTACTGTTGCTAAGAGAGAAAGGACTGTTTTCTTTCCTGCCATCTCTGGCTCTATGCACCCCTCCCCCCACATTCCTCCAGGCCCTTTTTTCCCTTCTATTTTTATACTTCAAGTGCCTCCTATGATGATGTCCTGTGAGCTTCAAATTAGATGAGGGTGTCATAAAGAAAAAAATCAAAAGGACCTAAACAGAATGAAAATCTGTGTTGTGCATGACAGATGGGTGCTGGGGTCAGCGTTACCAAAGCCAGCCTTGCCCCAGGCACTGAGAGGAACTCTTCCTGGACTCAACAGGTTATCCCTGCCAGGGTCTAGGCAGGGCAGGCCCAGGACAGGCATGACTGCCATCTCTTCCCCTAGATAGGGATGAGGTATTGCCCCTGACATACCACAATCTCCATAAAATAGAGATGGGCACAAAGTAAGCACACAATAAATACCTATTGAATTAATAATGGTTACTGATAAGGAAGGGCAGAACTGCACTGGATGAAGGAAGAAAAGCCCTGTCACTTGCTGTCACGCCACTGGTGTCAAGCCCTGTGTTTATCTCATCTGATTCCTATAAAACAGTTAATCCGATTCCCATTTTGCAGATGAAGAAATGGGAAGCAGATGAAGAAATGGAGGCCCCATCAATGGACCAAGTGCTTAAGGTCACTCAACTGCAACTGGAGCCTTGTCTCCTGTGGCCACACACTTGATTGTGAGAAGTGCAGAAATGTGTCCCCAGGGCTGTGTGTACATGCAATAGTGTGTGCCCGCTGCTGCAAAGCTTCATGTGTGTGCCAACTCCAGCGAGGGTAAGGCCCTGTAAAAAAGCACGTGCAGGCCAAGACTCCCGCACCAGCTCAGAGATGGCTCCCCCCTAATAAATCATTGCTTGGTCTAAAGTCCAGGCTTCCCTGGGGAACAGACATTTCCAAAGGGTGGGGACAACAACATGGATGCAAGTTGTAGGCTTCACTGTGATCAGAGCGGGTAGGTAGGCTGTGAGTGGGTGCTGGGGTCTGTCACTCCACCAGGTGCTCACATCCTGGCCATGTCCAGCCTAGCCACTGCTGCTGGGCGTCTGCATTCTGCACTAGGTGGCGAGATGCTATAGGGCTCCCCTATTCGGGGGAATGCGGTAGTGATGTATAAGGTATGAAAGATGTGGCCTGCAGAGAGCCGGCACTCTCTCTACTGCTGCTGCTACTGCTACTGCTGCCTCCGTTGCCACCGCCGCTACTGCTGCTGGTAGAGCTGCTGGGAGTGAGCATCCCCAGTTCGGGATACCCAGCTCTGGCGGCATCTCCCACGAGTCCTGGTCCCACACGGACCTGCCAACCCTAGGTAACAAAAGCGGAGCCCATTCATCTTCTCCTGCAGCCGGAGGATGAGTCGAGAGAGCTGAGCAGAGAGTGTGGTCCTTGGTGGCTGGAAGGTAGGAGGAGATGCTGCGCCCGCCTGCCCGGGGGTGGGAGACTCTGAGTGGTTGTGCCGAGCCGGGGGCGGCTGCTGGGGGCCAATGTCCCGCTGGTATTGCTTGCACCCTTCGAGGTGGTCATCTAGAACTCTGCGCTCCCACTGCCTGCCCACCTCAGGGCAGAAGCCACGCTCCCGCAGCCGCGAGGGAGCCCCCTGGGTGGGAATTGGAGGCAGCCGAGGAAAAGTCTGGAGCCTGAAGCCAGGCAGCCGTGGCTGCGGTGGGCTGCCCGCGGCTGCGGAGGGCTGCCCGTTGCACTTGGCGGAGCGCGACTCGCTGCGAAAAAACGAACGGACGTCGGCTGCAGTGTGCGCAAAGTTTTGGGTGGCGCGCAAAGGCGCATCAAGGGCCGCTGTGCAGAGCCGAGCAAGTTGTGGCCAGGGCTGGAGGGCGACCCTGGGGCCCCGTGCAGACTCTCGGAGACTGGGACTGGGAGTTCAGTGGCTTTTGCCGCCCCCACCCCCATCGCCAGCTGGGGCTGGGTTGACGCGCAGCCATTTAACCCTTCCCGGCTTGGGGGAACAAGTTCATCCTCCTCGGAGGCGGCTGAACTCAGACTGGCTGGGCAGCATAGAGACTTCCAGCTCAGTCCTTGCAGTCTTAGCGCATTTCCCCGCTCATTCCGGGTTTTCTGTTCTTTCCTGTTCACTTCTGTTTTCTGAAACCAGACGAGCTGGTTGGTGGGGGGGGTGGGGGGGTGGGGGGTGGGGGGTGTCTTTCTCACAGTGCATCATTTTATCCTTCGCACCCTCCGTGCACTTGTTCCCCATCCCTAGCCCCTTCCCCAACCTCGGCTTGGTTCTTTGATGCTGCCTTGAAAAATGAGATGATTAATCAATTAGGTTAGTGGCCAATTAGGCATAACCTTGTAGGAAAATAATTATGCCCACTCTCTGGGCTTTCACTGGTGATGAGGTGGGAATGCAGCCCAGGTGGAGGGGCTGTTTGGAAAAGATAGCGCCGATCAGGGAATTTCTGGGAATTTAAGATTAATAAGATTCAAGTGTGTGGTAGCGGCGGCAGTTGTCTGAGTGTAGTAGGGATGTGTGTTTGTGTGTGTGAGAATCAATTCTTGCCGAGGAAGTTAACCCTTAGCAACTCAGCCTAGGTGGACTTTGCAAGGCAGCATGTTTCCGACAGCTCGGAAAAGGTGTGTCCCCTGCTCGCCGGCCCCATCCCCCTCCTTTCTTGAGGGGGTCTCGCCTGTAAATCGCCTCAAGGTGGCTTTGCTGCTGCTTTGGAAGGCTGAGTTCCAATGAATGCATTTTAGTTTCATGTCCGAGGAGCCCTGTCATTGCAGAGGGAGGTTTCTGTGCTGTGCTTTTTAAGGATGCACATTTCTCTGACTCGTGTTAAAAAAGCAGTTATTAGATGGGTGCAAGAGGGAGACAATCTGTTTCCAGGGCTGGGAAGTTCTGCTGCTGAACGGGTCTTCCCTTTTCTTTTTCTTTTGGAAGGACTGGCCGGGTTTGGCACTGCGGTATTGCAATACAGCCATATTAAAAGACTTCCGAGCTTGGAGCTTAAGCCCTCCACCACTGCAGCCCCATCTTCAACAGACTTCCCTGGTCAAATCCTTTTTTTTTCCCCTGGAGCATGCGGTAGATTTCTGAGTGTACTCTGTGCATTTTAACCCCTTTCTGTCTCTATTTTAAGCTCCTCTAACCTATTTATACCTCTTCATCCTATGTCATAGATTTTTGTTCAGAAGGCAAAAACCTAGAGGAATTCCCAGAGCAGAGGGATTTTTGCAACAGGTTCCAGATCTGGGTTTTCTAATAATAAGACCCCCTGGCATTTAGCAACCTGGGGCCCCAGTCTCTCCTTTAATGACCTGACCAGGCTGGACCAGGTGGTCTCTGAGATCTCCTCCAGGGCTGACATTAGCTCATGCTGAATTTTATGACTTTTCTTCCTTTCCTAGCTTAGCCTGAGGAGTAGCTGAGCAGTGCAATTTGACAGTGGCAGTGCCACCTCACTCCCAGTGGAAAGGGATGGGGTCTGGCTGGCTGGGGCTTATTAGCAAATGGGAATCACCCAGCTGGAAGACTGCCTATTGATACCTATGTCCAGAGACAACTGGGAGCCACAGGTTCCATCCACCTCCCTCAAAATGAAGGGCCACCCACCATTCAGCCCTTCTCTTTTCCAAGATCTTTTTCTTAATGCTGGACTCAGTCAGCTTATTGTGACCATATTTATGAGTCATACTCTTATACTAGCAAAGACCTTGCTCCTTTTCTAAAATTGAAGCTATTTAATATAGTAGGAAAGGATATGAGAGGAGAAGAAAGGAGAGAGGAAAGGAAAGAGAGGAAGAGGTGTGGAGGGGCAGTGGTAAGAGAGGTATAGAGACTCAGAGAAAGCTTGACTTCAAATACAGCCACACAGTGGGAAAGAGGTAGGAGAGAGAGAATGAGAGAGGACCGGGAGGAGAAAGAAGGGAAGGAAGAGGAGGGGGAGGGGGAGGCAGCAGTGAGGGAACACAGAGATGAGGAATTCTAGTACAGAGAAGGGAAGAGAGGGTCCCACAAGAAGCGACGTCTTGTTAATCATATGTCTTGGAAAAATGTAAAGGAAAACCCCAAACTGCCAAAGACATTCCAGGTAGACTTACTTGCAACTCAGGTTTCACATACTGAGATAATTACTTATGAAAGAAACGTGCCACAGAAAACCATTAACTCCATTTCTCATTTCTTCCTTGAATGCTGACTCTGGCTGTTGGGGTGGGGTTGGGGCTCAGAGGGGATCTATTTGCTTAGTAGATGTGCTTTGCTTAGATAGCCCCAACAGCATATGCTGGGCTGAGTTGAGGCACTCCATTTGGACTGCCTGGGTGTTGGAACAACTTTGGAGCTGAGATATTTGTTGTTTGTTTTAGATGTCTTCCATAGAATAGTTGACTTTTTAAAGAGTGTATTTTTAGTTTATTTAACCTTGAGGGAAAAAAGAAACTTGAAGGAAAGTATAGTAAACACTCTTACCTGCCACCCAGAACTAAGAGTGATGGGAAAATGATTGCAATTCATATTCTCCTCTCCAGCCTCCTTGTCCCCATGTCAGACCATCTTCAGAGCCTCCTGACTCATGTCCTGGCCTCCAGTATGCCCCTCCTCCAATGGTAACATTACTTTCTTAAAACATAGCTTTGCTCATGTTACTCCCTAGATCAAAAAATTAAACATCTCTCTGTGCCTAAAGGACATTACTCAAATCTCTGACCATAGACCTCAAAGCCTTTCATAGCCTGGCTTTCTGCCTCCTTCCTAATGTGCTTCCCACTCACAGACACACACATTGCATCTCACACACATACACGAACACACAGCATCAAACACAACCTCACACACAGACACACACATACAAACCCACACCCTCTCATACACACTTAATGAGAGAAGTCTGACTGTCAGGGCAGGTGGGGCTACTTCCCAATTCTCCCCGTCTGCATATCTAACGCATTACACATATTCTCACATATGCTCACACACATACCCTCACACACACTCTTATACACACATTACATATGCACACTATAATTATATTACATGTATATACCACACACATGCTTTTCATACCTTTGCAGGTGTAACATTCCTAGTCTTTTACATGATAAACTACTCATCCTTCAGGATCCATCTCAGAAACGACCTCCACACAGAGTTCTCTTTCCCTCAGTAAGCCTGGGTTTTTTAACTTCCTAATACCCTCTCCTGAAGTGCTCTGTTATAATTCATGTGTTTCTCTTCCAATAGATAGCAAGTTACTTCTAGGTGGGTCCCTCTTCACCTCTTCAATCTCAATGTATAACACCTTGTTTGGCACAAGGTCTATGATTTATGTTTAATGAATGCATTCATTTTAAGAGCTTCTAAAGGAAGCCCCATGAAATCTTTTTCATTTATTTCTTATTTTCTCTTACTCTTATTTCCATTTTTCTTTCTTTTGATTGAAAAATAATACAGGCTTTAAACATTCAAATGATGTAGAAGTATGTGAAAATCCTTGTCCTCATCCCACCTAAATACCTTCTCCTTTTTTTTCTATTTCTAATTTTATTTTAATCATTGTTCAAGTACAGTTTTCTGTCCTTTACTCCCATCCCAGCCCACCCACCCTTCCCTCCCCACCTCCCATCCATTTCCACCCCCCTAGTTTTTGTCCATGTGTCCTTTATATTTGTTCCTGTAAACCCTTCCCATTCTCCCATAAAATTCCCCTGAGATTCCCTCCCCACTCCCCTCTGGTCACTGTCAGCCTGTTCTCTATTTCAGTGTCTTTGGCTATATTTTGCTTGTTTGTTTGTTTTGTTATTTAGGTTCTTGTTAAAGGTGAGATCATATGGTATTTGTCTTTCACAGCCTGGCTTATTTCGCTTAGCATAATGCTTTCCAGCTCCATCCATGCTGTTGCAAAGGGTAGGAGCTCCTTCTTTCTTTCTGCTGCACAGAATTCCATTGTGTAAATGTGCCATTGTTTTTGATCCATTCATTTACTGATGGGCACCTAGGTTGCTTCCAGCATTTGGTTATTGTAAATTGTGCTGCTATGAACATTGGAAATACCCTCTGCTTTTTAATGCACATGTTGTTGAATACTTGATTTTCTTCTTTACCTTTGTTTTATGTCTTATTCTCCTAGCTAGATCATATAAAGAAATCATGTAATATATATATCTATGTATACCTATGTATATCCAGTAATGCAATGCAGTGCTGTACATGTAATTTGTGCCCGACAAATATGGAATGCCAGTAGGGTTCACTTTTTCAATTACATTAAATAAATTGTTTCACTAATGTTCACAATTTCCTATGTGATTAGTGCTATAATCCTTATTTTACAGATAAAGAAAGCTAGGCTCCAAGAGGTGACATAAATTGGCCAGGTCAGAAAGAGGAGGGGTAGTGGGGCCTGGTGTCAAACCCAGATCTCCTTTATTTTATTGCTTCTGC